AAATGTTTTCCTTAGTGTACTCTATAATTTTCAAGAACTTTTCTTTCAACGACAATCCGACTTTTATTGGTTTTGTAAGATGTATGTAGAAATCATATTCATCTTATATCAGCGAATCACGCTCTTTCACCAATCAGATCGCCCTTAGGAAGGAATCTTTCTGACCTATCACAGCGTGCGTAAGAATAAATCTAAATATTTACCTCTGTTACGCCCAATGTCTTTTCTGTGTATACATAAAACTCTCCTTTTGGGATATTGACAGATTGGATTCCTGACAAGAAAATTATTTTGGCTAGTTATACTCTATCACCAAGAACAACCGTTTCAATTTTTTAATCTAAATATTTTGAATGAACTTGAATCAGTTAAACGTAAAACGATCTGCGCGTCATCGCGATCAAATCAAATATTATTAACGTATATCAATACCTTTTCTACATCGTCTTAAGTTTAAGTTAGATAAAATAAAATGAAGACGGTTATCCTGAAAATAAAATACAAACATTAGATAGCTTGAAGAACAACTGATAATTACATATTTTCATAGATCTGGATCCCAGGTTGGGTTTCCCTTTCGAAGTTAACATTGTGGATGGTTCCATGTGTACTTCAATAGACCCACAGAGAGCTATGCCTACTGCGACGCGCAGGATTCTAACGCGGCTATTTGCACCTCGAAAACAATCATTCTGGAAGGTTGCAGCACAAATAATGATCCCGTTGTTATGATTAGCACTCTAACTGTTGATACCTTTTTGCATCAAAAGAAGCAAAGCAAATTTATGCCCTGACCACCTTTCATCATCTCAAGYGTRTGTATGTATGTGTGWTATGTCAACTTACCACGCATAAACGCCGTAGCTTTACCCGTACTCGAATATCTAAACCCGTTCCTAAGTTGACTGGATCAGACACGACATAACCAAGGTGATCRTTCCATACAAATTCCTCGCCATTTCTTTTGAGCTCATTCTCAAGTAAAGCCAGTCCACGATATAACTTTTTAAACGCAGCAATGAGATGAGCTTCTTTTGATAGACAAACCACCTTATAAATAAAAGAGATGTTGGATGTATCTTTTTGTTTTGTTTTGTAGAAAAGATGAATTTAAAGTTTTTATTCTATCCCCCAMGCTTGCTTGGCGCACTAATGGTTAACCGTAGAAGGARGAGGAGGACCCACCCCTAGAGCCGCAGTGCAGGATTTGTTGGTGAATTCGATAGTTTACCCATTCTAGAACTCTATAAAGTACCTTGAGGTGATCGACCTCGTTCACAAGAACCATGAAGGATTTGTCGCTACTGACAAATATACCACGTGCGTCAGGCCAGTCACGTGCACGACCAGAACATGCGATGAGGGGTAGGGTGGGGTCAGGAAGAAGCATTCTAGCCGATAATCTTTTCTTGTATGTGTCTGTAAGGTCACAAAGTGAGAAATACTCTCCTTTGTATTCACCTGTCGGTAATAAAAGGCAGTCGCTGGTTTGAGTTTTTTCCGTTGTTGTGAAGGGCATAAATTATGTGAAGGACATTAGGCAAGGAAAAGTGTGTTAACAATTTGAAAAACATGGTGTTTTTAGCTATAGCAAGCTATAGCTGCATGGGAGGTTACGAGCGCGCGCAACTTGAAGATGGTCGTAATTATTACATGCTTTCAGACGCCAAACGGATTTGTAATGAATTCGTCGAACTTGGTTTTACCTTTTAATCTACACAGTGCCAATCTAAGAGCGTGTTCTACTCCTCGTCTTTCCTGTCTCGAGCTTGCTGCAGGAAATCTGTAGCCATTGAGCGATCKTAGAACAGTCAAACGAGTTGCCTTCACGTATTTGCCATCAAAATCACCAGATTCAATTSCTTGTGTGCTGATTTCTTTCCTATGAATATCACTTATACCAAAACCATGAAGATCCTCAATTACTTTATCAAAAAGAAGACTGAAGATTTCATAAGTTTCTTTGTCTCCGGCGATGACACCAGAAAGTCGTTCCCAAGGTTTTCCTGGACAGTCCACRCCTACCTGAATAGCCCTCTCAAGCGTGAATTTTCCTTCGGTTCTCCTATGTCTGTAAGACAAAACACTGGTTTAGATACTTCTATTAAACTTCAATTAATATTTCTTTTATTGGGCTATAWATTCTTACACTTAGATTTGACCGACAACTACGTTTAAAACTTTAAGCACTTACAGTGCAAGAACACCAACCAAGCCTACCCAAAAATAACTATTCGTTTAATATCTTTGGAGTCTCATGCGGATCAAGAGAACACTGAGCGCAAAGCCCGAGAAAGGAAATACACGCATAGAAGGCATCAGTAAAGTCTTATGTTATGATTTCTTACTTGAGGACTTCATAGACCTCTGGTGTTAGATGAGTAGCCATCGCACTGTTGTGAACACTTAAATCAGGGTAATTGTCATATGCTTGATGGCGCATGTATCCATGTCTTCGTAGCCATTCTTTAGATTCTTTTTTACTTTCCCGCCATATTTCRAAAGCCTCCTTTGTTAAATATACGCCACAAGCAGCGGCAGTCAATGCGGCAAGCATSTTTGGGCAATCGCAAACTATTGGTGGATTGTTTTCTGTGATCACGATGACAGAGTCAGCTAGTGCCCATGCTTCCATAAATTACTTCTGTGACGTATTATCAATTATGACGTGTTTTATAGATAAATTGATTGGTCTTGATCTTGTTTATACTCATTAGTAGTTTTGTTGTTGTTTTTTTTGAAATCTTGTTCTTTGAAAGCTAAGATTCAAAGGATAATATGAAGTTTTTAATAAAAGGAAATGAACAAAAAAAAAAACAAACAAAAACAGTATGAACAATRAGCAAGAAAACAAAGTCATCCTCGCGCCACAGGTATCCCAACATGTTCATTATCGCTGTAGTTATAGTTGTTAGTGTTTTGCTTTTTATTGCTGTTGTAATAATTGCTGTTGATGTCGTTATTATGTCAGTAATAATTTCATTTTTGGCTATAAAGTTTTATGCACTAAATCACGTGATTCAGTTGTCAGTCCGTATTGATATTTTTTCCGGTTTTGCCATATATTTGTAAATTTGAAAGTAAGGCAGATTATTTCTCTGTTCATTGAAATTTTATTATATGAGATAAAAACGATCGATAATGATTAACATTTGACATTTGATTTTTGATCTGATTTTAAAAGATTTCGTAATATGACCGTGAGTTTAAGAAGACTGGTACTATGACAATCACTTGCGAAAAAATGGCGGACGAGAGCCAGGCAAGTGTAGTTAGGCGGCGAACGAATCCCTCAGCAAACGGAGGTAAGACAATTTCACTACAATTTTGRTTTGTACATTCACTAAAAAATATTCACCTTTGATTTTCAGGTCTCAAATCGAATCATTTCCACGAAATTACTAGTTCTGTTCGAATGCAGGAACTTCGCAGGCGTACTGATGTATGAATCTCGAGTTCACTTTCTCTGCCGGAAGCCCGTCGTATTAACATCAGCAATTTTTTTTATAGCAACTTCGTACAGATATTTTAGAACAGCTTGATGGCCAATTGAGTGACCTTTTTGAAGATGCTATGCGAGGAGTTGAGAAGAATGAAGATTTGACTGATCGCTTTGTGTGAGTTGAACAGAGTTGTAATAAGAATTAAGACTGATTAGTTAATAATTTCACCTTGAAATCACGTGTTTTATCTCATTGTGTAATTTTTCTATAGATTTCGTTAACCATGATTTGAAGCTATAATTCTATGATTGTCTTGCTTGATTTTCACATAACTTTGGATTACGGTTATGTAAATAAACCATGAATGATCAAGTTGGGATTATTAAGTTGGCCGAGACTGCTGAGATAAAGAATTTATAACAAATTGTCACAACAGCCGTCCACTTGCAAGGCCAATGACCTTGTCCCAATGTCTTTGAGGTTAAAGTCCAGCTCAGTTTTGATATCTTTTTGGGAGATGAAGAAGTACAATTCCACTGTAGTTGATAATAAGTGATCATGCTACAGTATTATTATCAAAATATTGCAAGAAGTCACTAGTATTAACATAATTCAAAAAGACCAAAAAATGATACTAGGACTCTTAAAATGTTTGTTAGTCCGTACAAATAACTTGAAATAATATGCTATAATATCAATGACCACRTCGCCTAAGCAATGTTTGGTGCATTTCATACCCCATTGGTTTAGAATTCTTTGTTTTATAGCCATTCATTTTATCCCCTCAAGCATTGATGAAAAACAAAGAATTATATTCAYCTCACAAGGGGTCAGCTTTGAGTGTTTTGRCTTGAAGTGATTACTGATACTTTTGTTGTGTAATTGTGARAAAAAAAAC